ATAGAACACCCCTCACTAAATAGGGGTGGTGGACTAAGACACAACTTGTCATCCATCTACAATCCTGTTTTGAGATCTCTGCCCAAACATGCCCACCAGGACAATAGGCGTCAGCCCACCTGGGAGGATTCAGACAGGTAACGACTCTCACCAATACTGGGCTATAATGACTCAGTTGTTAGGGTACATTGTTGGCCTTCAAAGGACAAACACCACTAAGGGGGATAAATATCTCTGGCTCAACACCAGTCAGGCAGAACTGATGAAGCCTCTTGGATGAGAGGTGAAATGTCTTCAACCTAGAAACCTAGTCCAGTTGAAGTTTCTTTTTTCAGCTTACTATGACCTGGATGACTGAGAATCTGCGCAGAGAAGTGGCATAAAAAAAACTCATCCTGTTTCTTCAAGGATGTATTTTGGAGAAACAAAGTCAGTAAAACCTTATAAACATCATGTTTATGGTGCTAAGTTTATCAGAATATATAGGCTTAAGTCATGGCTGGACATTGTGTGACATTTCCGTTTTTGAAAAGGATTTATCTACTTTTCAGAACTGAATAACTGACAGACTGGACTGTGTTTTTAGTAAAAATGCTGCAGCAGAATGCTCATTTGCTGGTGAGGCAATGCAGCTGCAATAAAAAGCACCTTAATAAGTACTGAAATAATAATCAGCCAATTTGCTTTGGAGCTTTGGTCCAAGGGAAACAGGGTGGAGAGTTATGAAATGTCTGGCAGAGGACACAACCAGGTCAGAGGTATGAAATGAGGACAAACATGTGGTTAAAGGAGACCTACAGCTGAGCCTCTGTAGTAAAATGGTCTGATCAGGAGATGGGTCATCTCACTTTGACCAGCCTATTCACTGCGCTGCATAAACTAGTTGTGCAACAGGCATACATGCCTAACCACTCCTATTTATGACACAGAGGCCACAGCTGAAGAAGAACCCGGAGGGCCTGTGAGGTTTAAAAAAAAAAAAAAAAATCTGGAGAGGCTAAGCCCCATTCCAAATCAAAGGCCTGCAGTCACACCACTGTAGGTCATAGGCTATTTGAAACAAGCCTCCGGTTTTTAAATATTCCTTACAGTGAGTAGGAACAGAAAGGATCAAAAACAGCAACATTATTTTATCATTTCAACAGTTTTGAAACTCTGAGGCTCATGTAGTTACTAAATCTGAGCATACGCAACTGGATGACAGTGTGTAACCACAGTGAAATCAGAAGGTAACTGGTTGCATTACATCCTGAAACAGACCCAAGGGCCATTCAGGCTGATTGCTTGTAAAGATTAAAGCAAATGTTTCATATTTTTGCTTTCCTGCCTAGTTAGATGAGAACTATGATACTATTCTCCCATCTGTCCAGAAAACATATGGCTATCAGTGTAGCTTAGCTGGAAACAAGGAAACACCAAAATTCACCCACCAGCACATCTGAAGCTCACTAATTAACACATTATATTGTTTAAACTGCAGAAAATTGGGTTTGCTTGTAATCCTATTTTTGCTATGCCAACTGGTTGCTGTCTATAGCTGTATCCAGCTAGACAGCTGAAAGAGTGGAGTATCAATATTTTCATCCAACTCTGCATAAGAAAGCAAATTAGCTTACTTCCCAAAACATCCAACTACTCCTGTGACTATGCAAACCTTGTTTATTCCTAACCAACAAATAATTAATGCTAATTAGCAAAGTATCTATCCATGGGAGCTGATAGTCAAGATCCAAATCCACCGTTCCCCTTTCAAACACCACTGTGATGATTACATAAAAAAAGCACTCCATCAATTTAGTACTGCAGTTACACAAAGATGACCTGTGAGCAACAGACTAAAATCCTACATTTCCCATAATACAATTATCCATAATCTTTAATCTCTTACATAATCTTTGCCGCAACCACCCATACTTTTCCACACCAGCGGTTGAAGGCTGTCTGTCAAATTTTTTAAAGGTACGGCTGGTGATTCTTTTCAGCTGCATTTTTTTGTTAAATATCTTGAAATTCTCTTTTCATCCCAATGGCACTGAATACATTAAATGCATGGACAACAAAGAAACAAATTGGCCATGTATGGCAGCAGCTGGGCTGAAAAAAGCCTGAGCGAAGTCAGAAAGAAAGGGTGGGATTTATTCAGTTAGCTACTTTCAAAATCAAGCTTCTTGCTGGTTTTTCCCAGGATCATCAACCCTACCTTTAAGTCACAAAGTGAAATCCAAAACATTTTTCATTAGTGAAGTTTAAATTTTAACAATCCTTGTGTTGTGCAAACTGTGCCCTTTTAAAAAGGTCAGACACCCGGACATTAATATTTGGAGCTATAACAGTAACATTTCTGATCAGTGACCAATCCACAAACAGTGCAAGTATTGCTTGTATATTTTATTTTATGTACAGCACATGTAAAAAAAGAAAAAAAAGAAAAGAAAAAAAAAAGAGTAGCCAATAACATTGACCAATGTGGGCAACAGTAGACAGCTAATGTTGCTCATACACGGGAAAATCTCTGGTATACATATACGCAGACTCTCCCACTCCCTGTTGTGTAAACTATGCAGGCTTGACAGCAAACTGTCCAACTGTAGATTATCAACATGGGAGGAGTGTATTACCCACTGCCCTAATAAACACACTCCTCTCATTGACAATAACTGAAGCCAGGTTTCAGCCTCAATCTGAACAAGGTGTTCCCAGACAGGCAGAAAGGAGATGGGCTGGTTGGCTGAGTGACTGTGTGCAATCTTCAGTTAAGTTTTTAACACAGACCAGGCTGCCCTTGACAGTTGCGGTCTCTTGCTTTCAGCACAAAGGTCGCTAAAGGCCAGCATTGCAGTCTGCTTGCTGGGTGACACAATTTAACTGCAGGCTTTGACTAGTAGCGAGCTTTTCTTCAGCACGCTCAGCAGTTGAATTCACAGTATTCTTACAGCATGTTTTTCTTTTTCTCCCAAAGTCACTCATAAAGCTTTAATTTATAATGCATAGGGGACTTTGACACACTGTTCACCAATGTTTCTCCAGTGGAAATGCTTATCATAGATTTTTGTAGTGTGTATGGTAGATAAGCTGAGAGAGAAACACAGCCAAATCAAATGCGAGAATACAGTGTACACAACCATCTGTGTCTAGTGTTCCCAAGATCGTACAGTAGAATAAAATAAAATAAAAAAGCTTTTGTGTTGCATCTTCAAGGCCATCGATAGTCAATCACAAAGACTTCTGAACTCTCCTACTGCCTATCAGGGCTGTATCTCGTAATAGGGTTTCAGACAGTGAGCTTACAGCAGGCCACCAAGGTACAGATAAAGTGCTTTTTTTTTCTTAAATGTGACACTTTAAATAATTAAAGTGATGTAACAATGGTTCTGAGGAAAACCAAGAGTTGATGGGGGAGGTATGTCAACATGACACTGTTAAAGTTAAAAATGAAATGGAAGAGAGATGCAACATGATTCTGGAGAGGACCAGAGTTCAGTTTCAGTTCATCCACAAATCCGACTAATATCGCAGAAGGTTACAAGAATGGAACACTGTGATCCCTAGAATAGCTGGAACAGTCACTGCTGTCGCTGGACGGAGCCGTTCACATTTTGAGAAGAGGATTCAGGATAAGACTTTTGAAACCATGGGAAAATGTCTTGTCTTGTCTCCAGAGGGTGGGGTTGCCAGCTTATTCTGGCTGGTGGGAACGGACTTCGCAGTCAAGACACCGGTGGCAAGGACCGTGGTAATGACAGCAGTAGACTGGGAAGTTTTGCTAGACTGTAGTATAATTAAACCATTACAGATAATAAATACATTTGGGTCCTTGTAGTGTCATTATGTGGCTCTACTGAAATCTGATTAAATCTAGAACAAAAGAAATAAACAAACAAAAAAAAAAAAATCTGGAGGAATAGCCGAGTTCATCATAGACCCTTGTTCAGTCTTAACAGTCCACCTTGGTGGCCATTTTCCACCAGCCTTGTGAAAATGGAGAAAAAAAAATGGCACATAAATAGTAGCCATGGCAACCGCACATACTCCCTCCTGGGTCTTGATGACAGAGTCTGAGAATTCAGAAAAACCCAGAAGACCTCTCTTCAGTCCTCAGCTTCTACACAAGCGAAAGAAGAAAAAGTAGTAGAAGGGGGAGAAGAAAGAGCACAAAATAAAGACAAGTAAGCAAACAAGGCAGGTAATTTTAAAGTGAGTGTACAAGTATGCATGGCTCAGGATAACGAGATGTGATTCTCAACATGCCAATCTGAAGATTATGGAGCGCTGTGAAGTGAACATCAGCTAGTTTCCAGACTCCAGCTGGTTAAAAGCTAAAGGAGCAAGAAACATTCTTTCTTTACAAGCTCTAGCACCAAATATAGGCTTGTCTTACAGCTCGCTGTGTTTATCCTCAACTATAACCAACCTCGCCTTGGCTCCAGAACCCATAACAGACACAACAGAAGGGTTGGGAGTTGCCTGCCTGTCCCTCATATAGCTAAGAGACAATATTTAACCTTTGAGTGTGTGGTGAGGAACTGCAGTGTGGCTACACAGGCACTCGGAAACCAGGGGAACGAGCATAGCCACAGCATGACTATCTGCTTCAAGACATATAGTATCGGGAACCCAATTCTTGTGCAGCTCATTTGAATAAACTTGAAATGCTTTCACAGAGCTAAAGCAGCACTGTCTAATGTTTGGGTTTAGCAAGTTATTCAACAGCACAGCCTGAGCCCTCATTAATGTTTGTTTTGCTGCTTTGCACACAGCAACTGTCTGATGACAGGATGGCATGGCTGTGTTAAATAAGCAAGTTGGTGGAAACTCAGTTTCTCACATTCCCCCAATAATCATATCGGATTATTAAAATAATTAACAACTAATAGTCACATTTACTCAGCAGCATTCATCATACCAAGACAGACACACTTGTGCACAAGATTGTCTACTGCCTGTGTGAAGGAAACAATTTCTGACACAACTTACATTAGGCAAGTGACTACATTTTCAACTACCCTGCCCTGTTTAAGGTCATATGGACAGGTTTCAAACTACAATCGCAGACTACATTTAACTGCTATCAACTAACCTACGTGTCGCAGTGGGAAAGCAGCGATGTAATCTCTGGGCCCATGTGACCCACAGCCTTGGCTGCCTCCAGGATGGCTCTGCGGTACATCCCTTTCTTCTTGCGGTTGAAGCGGGACCTGAAGAGCTCTCTGAATGGTGACAACTTAGCAACAGAGAGCTGGGAGGTGGTGGGTGACCCAAACCATGCCACCTTGGCCTGGGGCCACTGTGCCTCGCAGCTGGCTGTCTGCTGTTTGTGGGTGCCGCTGATGCTGAGGACACGTGCTGGCCACCAGGGAAAACCATGAATCTTTCCCCATACGATGTCACCTACCGCCACAGCGTGACCCTCCTCTGTTATGCACTTGGTCATGCTGCGTGTGTGCAGCCGCACTGTAAGTGGTGGCACTGTCTTGCAGTCCTCACGTGAAGATACAGAAGATGAGGTTACAGAGAGGTCTTCACCAGGTGCCAGGTCACACAGCTCTGGTGAGGTGCCATCAGAGCTGAAGGACTTGGATTCATCTAGACTGTCACTGCTGCAGACTGACAGACTAGAAGAATCTGCTTTGCGTTTACGGAAATTGATAAGAAGGGTGAGGTCACTGTGACTGCGCTCGGCCTCTTCTCCAGAACTCCCTGACCACAACTCCAGTGTGTTCTTGCCTTCCCCTGAGCGTTCAGAGAGGGGGAGGCAGGAACCAGGAACCCTGGGACTTCGTCTCCTAGTGCCTCCCACAAAATCAGCCTCATACTCGACCACACTCTCCTCACCCTCCCTCTGAGGGGGTTTCAAGCGGACCTTTGGAGAAGGCAAATCTTGACCCACAGTTGTGAAAGGCCTGGTTAGCTTGAGTTTGGGAATGGACACAGTAAGGCCAGACCTTGTGGCATTTAGAATGTGCCGTTGTTCCTTGGTGGGATCAGAAGGCGCCTTGCCATTTTCTCCCACACCATTTTGCACCAGCTGTTTGGGACAGAACGGTCTGACTGAACCATGGACTCGTGAGGGGATCTTCATGACCTCCCCCTTGCCCTGTGGAGTGCTGTAGGAGATCTTTATGACAGGGCTGTGGGGGATAACATCACCTCCGGGGAACTTTTCCCCATCAGATTCTCCTCTTTTGTCCTTCCTGAGGCGCTTGTTGTCAAGGCTGGTGCCATTTTCCCTTCTTTTACTGTCCTTGCTGGAAACTACATCCTCTTTCCTTGAGAGCTTAGAGGGGGTATCCTTCTCATCACCATCATCATCACTGTGTAATGCATTCTCCTTTCTAGAAGTCTTGGTGTTGCTTAGGCCATCTTTGCTATCTTCATCACTATTCAGTGTGTTCTTGCACTTTTCACACAGTACTTGCCGTGGTCGCAGACGGATAGTACTAATGGTCATGCGGCCAGGCTCTCGTGTCCGCCTCTTCTTTGTCTTGATTGGTCGTGGAGGGGGCTGAGGTACCCATTGGCTATAGCTGTGGCGCACCCATAAGGGTTGAGGGAAGGGGGCTCCTTCAAAATAAGGAGGGTAAGGAGTCTGTCCAGCTGGCACAGGGCAGGGAAGAGGTGCAACAGGTAGGCTGCTTTCAGGGAGAATGTTTTCATCCTTTGGTCTATGTGAAGCCTGGCTAGGAGATTTGGAAACATGCTCCTCATTCAGATCTTCTGGGATTTCACAACTTGGTTTAGATATTGGGCAGTCCCCGGATTTTGGTGTGAAATCTGGTAGACAGAACAGCCCAGTCCTAAGATGAACAAGAGAAAAAAAAAATAAAAAAAAAAATTTAACAATGTGTCTCAATGTGTTTTGTTTCAGTGCTGCCGTAAGGTTCACGCAAGCCAACACAACCACTATTTAGATGACAACCATTTCTTAAACTTTAAGCAATTTCCTCCATAAGAAGGACACTGTGAAGCTGTGCTTATATTTCACAACAGCAGATAAACCAAGGCTAGTGAGACAGCACAAATCAAATACCTTTCCAGATAGGAAATGAGCACCCCATCATATTCCGTAAATTGAAAATCAAGTACCTACTACCATTGTGTTTTACTTTGACTAGACACACTGATGCCACTCTCCCTGTCACCTGTATGATGAAAATTCTTTACTGTGGGGGTTGTATTCAACTGTGCACGCAGCCTGGCATCCTGCTGCCTTGGGCCACAAAAATGGAGAAATGGTTACACTGACATGCTTTGAGTGCTCTTTTTTGTACTCTGGAACTAGCAAACATGTCCAAAAAAGGCCCAGCTGCCAACGAGCCTTTGAGAGGCGGCTGGCAACAGTAGTATGACTGCGCTGCTTAAGACAGGAGACAGCAGACAAAGAGACTACAACACCCCCCCCAAAACATCTGACTGAACAAAAACAATCCCATGTATCACTTGAGAATCAGAGAGGTAAGGAAGGAGCCAAGAGATTTCAGTTTGTTTTTGCATCCATGTCTACTCAGGGCTTAAGTGTGGTGAAATTATTAATTAGCGCACATTGGGGAACCTGTTTTCCTCCCCAGGAGACGTACCTGGCAGGCTCCTCTGAATAATGGTGTTTCAGTGAGCCTTGCTCCTCTTGGCTAATATTCGATTTCCTCGGGGACACATATGTACATACGAGCCCCTGAAGCAGTCGAAAATTGGCCTTCTCAGCGATTGACACGGCACAAACAGTGCAGCCGGTGACAGGGAACACACAGCGCTAGTTAGGCACAGCACAAGGACACAGTATATGACCAGTCATGATTCACTACACTGTTGCCATTTCACTGTGTACAATGCAGTAAGATGATGAGATGTGCCTAAATGATAGGCCTATAGATGGCATTAAAAAGCTGAGGAAGACAATTACAGGAAATGTATTTCCATGAGCTGAAAAAGAAGTCATATTTTGTCAGTATAGGCCTATTTTAAGTTAGACCAAGGCCTGCCTTTTCCCATTTAGGTTGGTTATTTTCAGGAGAGCTGGAGCTCTCAAATGAAAAACCATCTAAGCATACTAAGGGGTAAAGCTGGTCAGATTCTGATTCTGCTCATCTATAAATAGTCTAAAGCCAATTGCTTTTAAGGTGCACAGCAGTAAGAGTAACACAAGGCTTATACATGTGACACACTAAGACAGCATATTAGACATGACACTGATACATGTCAAATTACACATATGGTTTTCTCATTTGAACAGGATGGTGTTTTCTTCAACTGGCAACAAAGGGCCTTTATGTCAAACACAGCCTAAGATGGTCACTGGATCTTATCAGAACGAGAGAAAAAGAAAAAAAAGTGATTCATCAGATCTGGTGTATCTCTTTATTGTAATTTTCCATTGTTTCTACAGATCAACATTGACTGAATTTCAAGGGCTATTTCTCAAAACAGCAGCTGCATTTCAGGTTGCTTTAATTAAAACATCACTCCAGAAAACGAGTGCACAGTGCACTGCTATCTGTATATATAATACATCAAAAAACCTAAGTGAAATACAGTAAGTTATGCTGTTCACCCAAGGCCTACTGAATACGTTTCAGCAGCTCTATTTGATTAGGCTAACAATAAGCTACAGATGAACCCATTGACATTAGCTATTGTTTATGTCAGCAACAATCTCTACAGACAGTGCCACTATCTTGACGTGCAGTTTTAAAACAGCAAAATAACGTATTTTATCATCTTCATTATGGACTAAAAACGGTATCATTTTGCTATTAGCCGTCAAACTAGCAGACAGATACAGTGTCAGCTTTAAGTTTTTTATATGGAGGCCTGGCTAGCTAACAGCTCGCTAAGTAGCTAGCTTTGACTTGTTAGCAACAAAGGTGGATTAGCTGTTAGCAGAGTTGAGCAAATTCATTTCAGATATAAATGTATACAGGAAATAAAGGGAAAAACACTCACTTTTTGTTGCAATCAAGTAATATCCCAGTGTAGCTCCTTTCTCGATAGGTCAACGTCACCACTAGTGTATCGTTAACTATTTGATCGATAGTGACAGGTACCCGAGAACCGGCCCGCAGCGCCTCGGCCACAGCCTCCATATTTCCCGGGGTGAAGTGTCCGGCTCGGCAGTGCTCGATCCCGGCCAAGGGAGCCACGGTCGCGTCGGCCAAATATCCGTCTCCCCTTCGCTATTGGAGTAGGAGGCTACACCAGGGCACAAAATGACGCCATCACCCCCACCAAGTCAATTACAACTGCACTGCCACCGCTGACATCACGCTCTCTGTGCTAGAGGAGCAAAAAAATCTCCCAAGACAAGGCCTACCCTTTCTGTCTCACTCCGACTTGTTTGATGCTATTCATCACTGTCGACTTTAATCTGAGGAATGCATCAGTTTTCTCAGCGTAATGGCGTTAAGTTTTTTACTGTCGTATATTTAACAAATGTGATACAATTGTAACCTTTATTGAAAAACAAAAACAGCCACCAATCTCAGCTGAAATTATGTATTTATGATTTCACCAGAGAATTAAATAAGCTTTTTAAAGATTATTCATTTAATTGATCTCTATGCATTTATTTTATAGTGTATATTTTTCCATTTGGTCCCTCTTAAGCATTCCTATATTTTAAACTACATTTACATTGTGTGGTGATAATACAGTTTTTTTCCTAATTGACAGAGAATATGTTTGCTGAGCCCAGTTTAACATTTAACAGCCAAACAGCTTCATTTTACAGTAATTTATTTTGTACATGTTTGAGGTATTATTAAGGCAAGGTAAATGTAAAGCATGGCTAGTTTGTCTCCTTGAACATCTTGCAGAGGTCCAAAGAGGAAGAAAGACAGAATGAACATTTCAGAATACACACCCAGTCAACAAACTTGTGATCTTTATTTTTAAGACATATATATTACAATGGTCATTCATGAAGGGGTTACCCTTTACGATGACATTTAAATGTGAATACCACAGAAGGGATGTATGATCACTGTCATTTGTCAAGGTAACTTGACCAGGTGTCTCCAGTGAAGATGATAAAAGACTTTTCATGATCTTTTCCCCAATTTCTCCTCCTCTCCAGAAGCCACCCCTGTAACTTTCTCATCTATCAATAAAAATCAGAAGAAAAAAAACAAAATAAACAAATTCAAATCAATATTGTTGGGTTTCAGTACAAATGAGGTGTGTGAATAATGAAGCGTAGGCCTGACCTCCTCCACATCTTGATCTGCCACTGCCATCTGCTCGCTGGCTGTGCCAATGGGATTCTTGTGTCTCTCCTGCATCTTCTCAGCAGAGGCACAGATCTGCCACTCCAGCTCATGGGCAGATCTGGAGAGCCACACAAGTCAAAGGTCAACATTTCAAACTGAAAGACTGAATATGTAGATGTTTAGGTAGGGACTCTGGTATTATAGTCTTTATGGATGATAGATAACCAATTAATGCAATATACAGTGGGTACGGAAAGTATTCAGACCCCCTTAAATTTTTCACTCTTTGTTATATTGCAGCCATATGCTAAAATCATTTAAGTTCAATTTTTACCTCATTAATGTACTCACAGCACCCCATATTGACAGAAAAACACAGAATTTGACATTTTTGCAGATTTATTAAAAAAGAAAAACTGAAATATTACATGGTCATAAGTATTCAGACCCTTTGCTGTGACACTCATATATTTAACTTAGGTGCTGTCCATTTCTTCTGATCATCCCTGAGATGGTTCTACACCTTCATTTGAGTCCAGCTGTGTTTGATTATACTGATTGGACATGATTCGGAAAGCCACACACCTGTCTATATAAGACCCTACAGCTCACAGTGCATGTCAGAGCAAATGAGAATCATGAGGTCAAAGGAACTGCCTGAAGAGCTCAGAGACACAATTGTGGCAAGGCACAGATCTGGCAAAGGTTACAAAAAAATTTCTGCTGCACTTAAGATTCC